ATCAATTTCAATTCTAGAGACCCCACAATTAACTAGCCAGTCCCATAGGTCTATGGAAGTTGGACTATTCTGATTGTTACTTTGACTCTGATGTCCATTGCGATAACAAAGCCCACCTTTCCTTTAATGGCTGAGTGCTGCTACTTGGCCCTGGCATCCCAGAGTACGATTATTACTGTTTCATTGAAGTTTTCCAATTGAGTAACTTCAGTCCTGACTGTACTATCTAACCTATAGAGAAGAGCAATCATAGAGCTCTTTAAAGATTCTGGGGCTCCCTGAGACTGGGGTTGTGGCTCACTAGTAGAGTGTTCGCCTAGTGCAGGTAAGGCACTGGGTTTGATCCTCAGCACCACATAAAAATGAATAAATGAAAATAAAGGCATTGTGTCCATCTACAACTAAAAAATATTTTTAAAAAAGATTCTGGGGCTCTCTTTTGGACCTCCTGGTGTGGGTGAGTAGGATTTAAGCAACGAATTTATATTATCTAGCATTCAAATCTCCCTAAATATTTGAATCCTTTCCTCCATGTTAAATGGAGGGAGATTGAGCATTGCCAAGTTGCTCTCATAGATCATCTGTTGATCTATATTCCAAGCAACCAGCCAAATATCTTGTCAGATAGAGCCCTTTTTAACTCCCCAATCTGAAACATCAAATGCAGACTCTCTACAAAGCCACCCCATATCAATTCTTTACACAATTATTGTACACCCTTAATATACATTCCCACAATATTCCCATGATTTCTTTTGATATAAATTTGGAAACTCAAGTAGTTCTTCTGGAGTACAGTATACTTGCTCACACATCACACTTTGTATTTCACCACTATGTTCCTGCTGGAACTTGAGTCTAGAAGCAAAGAGGGGTAGTAAGGGTGAGTCCTGAGGAGAATCAATATTGCCTTGCTTCACAAAATGCCTCAGGAGAGTCCGTTACTCTTTCTGCAGCAGTGAATCCCCGAATACAGGTGGAAAAATTGATACCATCACATGTGGGGAGGCTACTAAAATTGGGGATATGGAGGTGTGTTAGTCAGTTTTTTGTCACCATGATCAAAATGCCTGATAAGAACAACTTAGAAGAGGAAAAGTTTATTCTGTCTCTCAGTTTCAGAGTTTCAGTCCACGGTTGGCAATTCCATTGCTCTGGACCCAAAGTGAGGTAGAAGATCATGGCAGAGGTGAACTGCTCTATTCACGGTGGCCAGGAAGAAGAGAGAGAGAAGAGGCTACTGGGAAGATAAACCCTTCCAGGACAAGTCCCAGTGACCACCTCCTACAGCCAACAACACACCTGCCCATAGTTACCACCCAGTAATCCATTCAAACTAGGAGGGACTGGTTAGGGTACAGCTCTCCGAATATAATCACTTTACCTGTGAATATTCCTGCATCAACACAGGAGCTTTTGGGGAACGCCTTATATCCAAACCATAACAGGAGACCACTTCTACTGGAACAAAGACTCATCACAATTTAGGAACTCAATATCCCAGGTCTCATCAGGACCTTCCCACATGTCCCCACCCAATTTACAGTATACAATTTTTTCCCAATCTATTCAGTTTACCATTAGATACCCTTTAAGCTGAGAATTCACCTCTAATTGTAATTCTGCCAATCACCTGATAAGTGCCTGTGTTTCAGCAATTTCAGCCCTGCTATAAGTAACAAGAAGCTGGTTTCTTATGGGTAGCTTGATCTGGAAATGTGAATCCAGGAGAAAGAGAGAATATTCACCTTTTCTCTGCTTTTTTGTTCCATCCAGGCCTTCAGCCAATTGGATGGCACTTGCCCACATTGTAGGAGGTGAACTCTATTCTCTACTCATTCATGACAATCACTTCAGAAAACAGCCTCTGATACCCAGAAAGTTTTGCCAGTTATCTGTGTATTCCCTAATGTAATCAAGCTGAAATATAAAATTAACCAGCACAAACATTTTCTTGAAAGCTTGGCAGAAAACTTATTGAAAGCTTACCATTCACTCAGCAAATATTTAATGAGCATCTACCTGTACCTATTAGTCTTAGGCACAGAAAAGTATTGCCAATGTGGAACACAAATTGAAAAAGCAGCCAACATGCTTTTTCTCTGAGCTTATAGTAATGTAAGGATGTAAATGATATAGTTCTAACCATTGAAGACATTTCAACTATTAGCAATACAAATGAGTAAGGGAGTATTTGCAATAATGTAATCAATAGCAATGGGTTCACATTTAGTGAGTACAAAGCCAAAAAGTACCACCAAGAGATAAGATTGGAGGTTTATTACCTGCAGCATGTAAAGAGATCACTGGGTAATTTCCAAAGCAAAGTTCTCCCTAAACAAAGGAATCATGAAGATTTTATCAGCAGAGCCTATACATATTCATGTAGGGATGGGCACATTTTTCAGCATACTCAGCTTAAAGTTATAGATCACATGTTTAAAAGGCAAAGATGGTGGGCATGAACTTCGGGGCAGACTCTGTTGAGTATTATAAGTTTGCCTAAAAGAATGAGTCAGAGCAACTCAGAAACCTTGACTGGTTCCTCATGCTTTTTTTATTAAATCATTTTTTAGATGTAGATGGACATAATACCTTTATTTATTTATTTTTAGGTGGTGCTGAGGATCAAAACCAGTGCTTCACACGTGCGAGGCAGGCACTCTGCCACAGAGCTACAGCCCCAGCCCCTCATACTTTTCCAAAGTTTTAGCTGAAATGAAAAGAACAACAACTTTGAAGTGGCATTACTCTCTTTAAAGAGGCAACAGCTTCCCTCAACCTCCCTAATGTGGGATTTCGTCCCTAAACTGCCTGCTTTGCTTAAGGCCTAACAGTATATAACATACATTATGGTTGAAGATGACCAGACAAAGGGAGGCGGATGAAAACTGCACTGAGGAAAGAGTGTGGAGTTAACCTTGGTTAGAGAACTCTCTTACTCTTATCAAGCCCCTTCCAAAAGCCTCAGAAGTCAAAAGAAGGACATTGCTCTGACAGCCAGGAGCACAGTTGGATGTGATTACATATCATTAGACCCAGCAATAGAAGCTGCATCCGAACAAGGAAGGACAGTCTTAGCAAATAGTTTACATGAACATATGACAAAACTAAGTCAGATGCTTTTATTAAAAAGGACAAATTATACTATCCATTAAGATTACATTTCTCTGACAATATCCTCCATAAAAATAATCACTAATATTTATGAAGTATATCTGCGGCCAACACTGTGCTAATGAGGTTGAGATAGGAACTGGGACTATATAGAGAAAAAAAGTATGCTGAGACCTCAAAGAGAAGTGCCCGTGAGCTGTTGTGATATAGGAAATGCCCAGGAACCATATGCAAAGCTTGCAACCTGCAAGCCACTCAGCCAGCATCTTTGGTCCTTACCCACAGAGAGCAGTGTGAGGTGAGGACAATGAGCAACCACAAGGAAAACTGACACAAAACTGCATGATTCCAACATGACCTCATCTTGAGTACAGCCCCCTAGCCACTGTCCCTCTCTAAATACTAGGACCCCAGATCAGAGCGTTGGCTTCTCACTCTCCAGATGGACTGTACCTCTCTTCCCCTTGCTAATCCTTGCTTTTCTAAATGAATCTCTGTGCCTCTGACACATACTTAAATTCTTTTTTTACAGTGTTTGTGAAGAGCCCCACCCATCCTGAGTTGAGGTGACCCTCCCCGGGTCCTCCTCCAGTGACAGGTTCACATGTCAAGTCCTCCATCTGCACCATGATGGTGCTATCCTATCTTTATTCCATAGATGCAAAAACCAGAGGTATAGAAATTTAAGTGCCCTACTCTTACTCTATTAGGGAAGGAAAGATGTGGGATTTGCCCTAGTCTTTCCGGTTGGCGGTTTTTATTCTTGACATGGTGACATTTTCACTTAGCTCTGAGCATCAAAACAAAACAAAACAACAACAACAAAAATAGTAGTGGTCAGAAGTGTGTTTACCTCATCAAGTCCAGAGGAGTTAGTGTGGGGCTGTTGCCCTGAGGCCCTGTTTAACGAACCACTTTCCTTCCCTAGAGCTGCTCTGTCCCTAACCTGTGCCACTGACCTCAGAACCCAACTCACTAAGTGACTGCTATGGCCCAAGGCATCATAGCCACATTCCAGGCAAAAAGAAAGGGAGGGACAAAAGACAAAGCCTTTCAAAAGAGACCTCACCTCAAGAAGGAAGCCCTCCTCAGGCTATTCTGCCCACATGTCAGCCAGATCTGCCCAAAGTGACCAGCAAAGGAGGTTAGGAGTTTGGGAGTTTTGTTCTCTAGCAAAAAGCAGGGAGAAAGTGAGTTGAATAGTGTTGAGTAAACTCACTTACAAAGTATGCGTCCCAAATCCTACACACCCGCACTGCTCAGTTACAAGCAGATAAAGTACAAGTTGCCAGCCTAGGCTAGAGGGCTCACAAGAACGAGCCCTTTCTTCTTGTATTTATATCTCAGTGTTTTTCTGCCAGTCATGATTTTTTTTTTTTTTTGCTGTTGCCCAACATGTTCTTCCTCTCTGCACCTCCACAGCTCGTTCAAGCTCCGCCTGTTCCAACACCCACCCTGTGCAGTCAAGCTGCCTGCATTGGGCCACTTTCTGTGTATTAGTGTTAGCATAAAGTCCATATGACAGACTAACAGTCAAAATGCACCTCAAACACCAGGCAATTTTTTTTAAGGGCTAGGAAAGTTACAGAATCCCCAATACCAGAATTCCTTCTATTTTGTTGTTCTGGTATCTTCCACCTGACGTTTCTTGTTCGTTCAACCTTGACTAACAACAGTGAATAATAGGAGCAAAAAAAAAAAAAAAAAAAAAAAAACGGTCAGAGACAGGCTGAGAAGGAAATGACCTCACATCCTAAGTGAGATGTGAAGATATTTTCCACTCCTCTTCTACTGGGAGGTAGCAGTTATACCTGTCGACCACTAGATGGCAGCACACACACATAAAAGGTATGGCTGATGCAACTCCTCAAAAAAAAAAATAAAAGAAATTGAACTAGTACTGGGAAGGAATCTGAACTACGAATCCCAGCATGCATTATTGAGCGCTTGACTTGCTTCTGAACAAAGATCTCAAGTCTATTACTCCTTCCTGCGTGGATCTAGAGGAGACGCCAAGGACTCATTCCTCTAAAGTAAGATTTCCTAATACTTATAAAACAAAAACTTTGGACTGTGGGAAGGGAAGATTTAATGCTCAGATGTTGCTTTGCTTTGTACATTGCATATTTTGAGATTAATCTCAGCAGTTAGATCAGGATAAAGACAGGTCTTTTTTTAACAAGTTTAAAATTTACCATATTTATAAGTTATTCAAAGTAGCTAAAGAAATGGAGAACTTTTACAGTATCTATCCTAAGTGATTATTTTTCTGTCTGGCTCATGGAAACATTTAGATATCCTTAAAATGTTCTATTTTTGCCTCTGCTGATCAAAATTAACATTGTCCCCCAATATTTAGAGTAAGAAAACCAATGTGCTCAATGTTCACATTGAATTTACTAGGAGTTGCCTGATTTTGATCATGTCTGGCTATGTTTGCACTCATTTCTCCCAAAGAAATCTGTTTTAGTTTGAGAATGAAACTTACCTAATGTGAAAGCTTTGGCTCCAAAATCTGGACTCAGTACAACAGGGAGGCCAAGTAGGGGGAGGTTTTCAAAGTGAGTAAAAAAGAATGCTTTGTGTTCATTACCTGCTTCTCTGGGTGTCAGAGATTCTTAACTTTGGACAAGTGCCTTTACAGTGACATGAGCCCCACATTACCTAGAAGGGTATTGTAAAATAACAGCTTCTCAATACACCATGCTTAGGACTGGAGGACCATAAAGACAGCTAGAGTCTTTCTAAAGTACACGTAGAATTTTTCCAACTTCTTCTGTGTTTAAAGTGAAATTTTATCTCTCTCGTAAGAAGAAAATATTCATTGTCTCAGAGTAGGTCAGGCAGTGTAAAAACCACTACTCTGTTTCCTAACAAATAGTTCCACTTAACAGGGAGCTGTAAGCTGGTCCCTGGAGCTAGTTATGATGGGAACTAGTTATGATGGTGTGGTTGTCTGGGTCTGGTCCTCGGAGAGGCCGACTCCTAGACATACTTACCCAGGTGTGGATGGTATTTGGGGAAATGTTCCTGTGCCAGAAAATGCAGAGGGAACTAGGTAAGGCTGAGGAGCCATGAGATCACCACGGAAAGGAGAAAGAGCAAAGCCAGGTGGGATGGAAACATCCAGAATGCTGTAAAGTCTAGGAGACCTTCAGCAAGGCAGTCTTGAAAGTCGGCCAGGTCAAGCCATGAGAAAGGTGCTATCTCCTGGAAATGGGTCTGCCTTAGTCTCCAAATGGCCTCTGAAAAAGTGGCCTCAGGACAAACTCCTCATGGTTGATCACCTCCTGCCATCTGGGGTGAGTGAGCTACAGGCTCCTGCAGCCACAGTGGGAGTTTAAAGAGGTCTGCTGGGCTTGCAAGCATCATGTGTCAGTGCCCTGAGCCACAGGGCCGTCTCTTGGACCTGCAGTCAGAAGACCCAGGTTTGCACTCATCTCTGTACAACAATGGGCAAATCACAGCATCTCGTTGGTGACCAGGCCCTGGTGTCTCATCTCTGACACGCTTGTCATCCTCCAGGTCTCTCTCTTCACCAGCACCTCTCAGACCAACTGCAGGACCTCCCACCCACACCGCCCTGCGCCTGCCCAGGCTTGTTCTTTGCTGTGATCTTTCTGAAATACATCTCTGATCATGTGGTGTCCTTTCCATGCATCCTCAAGCCCACTGCCTACAGAAGAACTAGTGCTTTAGCATGTGGAGTTTGGTCCAAGGTGTGGAGGCATGAAAGGAAAGGGTGCCTTGGGTACAGGGCAGGGGGGCAGGTACGGGCCAGGCCTGCAACGTCTACTCTATCAGGCAGGCAAGTGAGCTGAGTGACAGTGAGGGCCATCTGTGCAAGTGCAATCAGGTGGCTCACTAGGCACCCATCCAACTCACTCTCCCTCTTGCTTTTCACTTTCTCATGGCTGGAAAACAAAATTCTCAAATTGCTCACCTCCTTTGTTGTTAGGGTGGCCAAGTTGTACAGGTCTGAGTCATGAAATGTAGGTGGAAATTTCCAAGAACTTTCCAATTTCTTTTTTTTTTTTAATTTTTGATTAGTACGTTATAATTATACATATAGTTGGATACACTGTGACATATTCATATGTGCACATAGCATAATTTAGTTAATTTCATTCCTCAGAAAATGAGGCCTCTCTGAAAGGCTTTAGTGTATTGGTACAAAGTATTGAACCCAGGGGCACTTAACCACTGAGCCACAAATCCCAGCCCTTTTTATTTATTATCTTGAGACAGCGTATCGTTATGTTGCTGCAGCTGGCCTTAAACTTGCAATCCCCTGCTTCAGCCTCCTGATGGGCTGAGATCACAGGTGTGCATCATTACGCCCAGCTGAAAGGCTTTAGATTTTTACTCCTCCCTTTCTCTTTTTCCTAGAATATGAATGTGATGTCTGGGCCACAGCAGCCACTTTGTGAGTTGGTATGAAGTCAGAGGTACACTTGAAGGACAGAGCAGAGCAAGAAAAGGAACAAGGTTGATCACCACTAGACTCTCCCCCAATCCCAGCTCATCACTAGCTGTTCCTCTCACCCTATGATGTGCAGTCCATGCTTAGCCAGATATCTCATGCACATTGAATTTCCCTTATGTCAGAGTTTCTCATTCTTTGCTTTTAGAAATTACTGATTATATGTGTTCAAGTGTTACTGTTACATGTTTAATTTGTAAAAGAGGATCTGCAGTGTGGTGTGAAGGATTGTTCTCACAGCAAAAGAGCCAGAAATTCAAGTTTAGTTCTGGCTCTGCCACTGACTGGCTTTATTAACGGGCAGGTCCAGTTCCCTCCTCTGTAAAATGGGGACATTGGACATGATTTGATTTTTCCAGCCCTTTTGTTCATCTCTGAGACCAATCAGGAAATCTTTTCAACGAACAAGGAAAAAAAATCATAAGTTATTGATATTGCAACCTCAACAGAAGTTTACAGGAGAGAAATCGAGAAGCAGCCCTGGGTGGTAAGGACACAAACGATGCTATAGCAATGGGTGCAGGGGTAGCAGGGAGGATAGTGAGGAGCAGGGTCAGAGGTGTCCTCTCCATCCGGAGTCCATCGCCCGTCATCACCTCAGTGTGTTGTGCTGAATGATTTTGAGGTACAAGGCTAGGTATCTAGAGTAAAGTGTCCAGGAAATTCAGATGGGGGGACTGTTGGAACGGGGGTGCTGTCTTCACATTCTTACGGCAGCACACAGAGCTGTAATTCCAGACGTCACGGCCTGCACAAGACCAGGGGCTACAGTGTAAGCCATGGAATGCATTTGTCTTTAGATTAAACCACAGTTTCCTCATGGGTCGACTTGATGGGAAAGTCATCATCCTAACAGCTGCCGCTCAGGGGATCGGCCGGGCAGCTGCTGTGGTGAGTCACTGTCTTCTTTACTTGCCCACTTTTGAAGTGTTGAATTATGTGGCCCAATATAAATGTTGAACTATGGTTATTTGATTCTGCTCTGCTTTGGGGGCAGGCACTGAGTGATCCCAGGCTCTTGAGCATGTTGAGCAGGTGCTCTTCCCACTGAGCTACACCCCCAGGCATTTTGTTTTTTAAATTAACTTTATCTTTCTGTTGTCATAAGTTACCAAAAAAGTCACACTACCTGAAGCAGATAAAGGAATGAATACATCCACAGAGTATGTGATATCACCCATAACCGTGGATGCTGAGAAATGTAGTTCTCTGCCTCAAAAATGTTTCTGTACCATAATAAATTTACTGCAGGGGTCTCACAGAGGTGCATAGCTTTCTGAAATCATGTCAATTCAGAATTAGGACTCCAGAGTTATAAAAGTGTCAGGCTACCCTTGTCTTGTGCTTTACCTCAACTTCTCCCACATTATACCACCTACCTGAGCTAATAATGTGTCGTAAGGGGCATGATTGAGCTTTATGAAAGTGCTAGTATACTCCTAGGAGGAAAATTCAACCCCTTTTCTCTTATAATTTGGAATCTAGTTAAAAATGGAATAACAACATTTTTTAAAGAAGTGTTAAAAACAGAATTTTAGCCAGGCGCAGTGGTGCATGCCTATCATCCCAGCAGCTCGGGAAGCTGAAGCAGGAAGATGGTAAGTTCCAAGCCAGCCTCAGCAACTTAGCAAGGCTCTAAGCAACTTAGTGAAACCCTGTCTCAAAATAAAAAGGGCTGGGGGTGTGGTTCAGTGGTTAAGTGCCTTTGGGTTTAATCTCCAGTACCAATAAATAAATAAATAAATAAATAAATAAATAAATACTATGTTGTTTGATATTAAAGAGAAAAAGTCAAAAGACATGCAGAATATATGTCACATTGTTCTAAAGAACGATGAAAATAAATAAAAATAATCAGAGTGGGGAAAGGGAAGCAAGACTGGGTAGTTTGAAATTCCACGTATTTTATAAGGGAAACAGCCATAAAAATAAGAAAAAAAGAAAAAAGATCAGATGTTTTCCATTCCTCCAAGCATTTTAATTGAGTAAATGAAGTAGTTATTTGTACTTTGTGTCTGCCAGGCTTTTGCAAATGAAGGTGCCAAAGTCATAGCCACGGACATCAATGAGTCCAAACTTCAGGAACTGGAAAACTACCCAGGTAAGCCACTGAGCAGCTGGACCTTGGGGTTCAGAGTCTGTCAGGCATTACAAAGCAATGACATTTGAAGGTTCAAGAGAGCTCCTTGGCCTGGGGAGGTAGCTCAGCGATAAAGCACTTGGCTAGCATGCATAGGCCCTGGATTCAATCCCCAGCACCACACTCACACACACACACACACACACACACACAGAGAGAGAGAGAGAGAGAGAGAAAAGAAAGAGAGAGAGAGCTTCCTATATGCCAGGGATTGCTTAATGAGCTCCTTAGCTCAGCAACACTGGCTGCCTCTTTAGATTCTGGCTCATTGGCCTCAAAACACACAAAAATCTGTGTCCTTAAATGAAATCTGGGTAACGGAGGAAGGGGCACTGTGGGTGCAGGGCTCAGATGATGAGCCAGAGCCTGGGGCTGTGCAGGTCCCACCACAAGCTGCGTTTGTCCACCGCCACCGTGCCCTTGGGATCAGTTGTGCTTCCACCCTCAGTTTTTAAACACTTTCAAACATGGAGGTTAATCAGCGATTTTGTATTTGGGGGAACAGTTGACTTCAATCTCTTGTTTCACATGATTTTTCTACATTGTTACTATCAAATGCTGGAAAGCGGCTCTTCCCACAGTAAGACAGCAGATCTTGTATTCTTGTTCCTTTTGGTGAATAATTAATGACTCTGATTTGTTTGTGAGCTTCGTTTTCTGGGTCCATTTCACAGTAATGCTCATCTTCTTGTGGAGCGGAAGGAACCTGAGTGTCCCTATGAATGTCTTTGGCCTTCTCCACATTCAGGCCACTTTTCTGCCCTGTATGCTCCCCCATCCCACCCCACCTTCACACTGGGCATGAACCCAGAGGTGCCCTGCCACTCAGCAGTATTCCCAGCCATTTTTTTTTTTTTTTTGGAGACAGGGTCTCCCTAACCTACCCAGGATGGCCTTGAACTTAGGTCTTCAGCCTCAGGTTTCTGAGTGGGTGGGTGGGATTAGTGTGCATATCCAGGCACCCAGCTCTTAGATTTTCCTTGTTGTTGGGGATCTTGATCATTGTGGATCTCTTGAGGATTGCAGTTAGACCATCCATTTTTTTCTTGGAAGACATGTTTCCTTGATTAGCTCATAGAGTAAGAATTCTGAGGACACCGTCTATTTCCAGGAAAAAATGAAATCAAATAATAAAAGAAGAATATTCTGGTACTGGGGATTGACTCCAGGGGTGCTGAACCTCTGAGCTGCATCCCCAGACCTTTTTAATTTTTGTTTTTGAGACAGGGTCTACCTAAGTTGCAAGGCTGACCTGTGGTTTGCAATTCTCCTGCCTCAGCCTCCAAGTAGCAGGCTGAGCGACATCCACAGGCCTTGAACACTATTCTTTTTTTTTTTTTTTACGATGTGGTTGCCTCATATCTTTTTTTTTTTTTAACTGTAGTCGGACATAACAACTTTATTAATTTATTCTTTTATGTGGTGCTGAGCATCAAACCCAGTGCCTCACACATGCAAGGCAAGCTGAGCCACAACCCCAGCCCATTGAGCTATTCTTGATACATCAGATGAGTTTCCAAATTACAGTCCATCACCTGAAGAGCATCTGGGAGGCTCCATCTGAGGTGAGGGACAGCGTCTCTGAGGTTAAAGCAGCTCTGCAATAATGACCAGACTTAGCTGGGAAGGACTCTGCGATGGCCCTGGGATTCTTTTACTGTTTGTTGCAAGTGTGGACACTTTTGACAGCTTGACAGATATTAACTCCAGCAGCACTTTATAAATTGGCGCACTGACTAATCCAGAAGACATTCCCAGTGGTTTGGCAGTAGTTTCTCCCTACCCTGATACTGAAAGCATCACCTCTCAGAGTCAAAACCTGGAGAAACAGGTGTCTTGCCACCTCTAACAAGTACATGAGCACTTGAATTCTGTGGCATAAGGCTGGGACTTTTCTTCCTGTCTTCAATAGAGGAAGTCATGGTAGTCATGAAGAGGACAAAGCAAAACTGAATTCCACTTCTAAGAAAAGAAAAAAGAAAAAGGGCAAGAGATGGTGCACACCTATAATCCCAGAGACTCAGGAGGCTGAGGCAGGAGAATCCCAACCTAGCTAGACCCTGTCTCAAAATGAAAAATTAAAAAGGACTGAAGATGTAGCTTGGTAGTAAAGCATTCCTGAGTTTATTACCCAAAAGAAAGAAAGAAAGAGAAAAAGACTGGAAAAAGAAATTTGAAGATATATACTTAAAACTTTTTATTTATCAATATGTTGAGAACTTAAGTTTCAAATTACCAAGCTATGTGTGAAGACTTGTTAGGTTACCTATTCACTACGACTCTTCTGTTCTGTTCTCTACAGCAGCCCTGTCCAAAAGTAACCTGATGTGAGCCACATGTGTATTGGTAAATTTTCTAGCAGCCACTTTAAAACAGTAAAACAGGTGGCAATTAATTTTATTATTTATTTAACCCAAGTTATCTAAAATATTATCATCTCAACATGTACTCAGTACTAAAAATTAGCAAAATATTATACCTTCTTTTTTCATAATTAATCTTTTGATTTGAACTATCACAACTTTATTACAAGCCTCGATCAGTTTTTTCAGCTTTATTGAGTTGTAACAGTTGTAACTGTAACTGACAAAAATTGTGTGTATTCAAGGTGTACACCATGATGTGGTTGGTGTTATTGTTGTTGCTGTTGCTTTGGGGAATTTTTTTCCCCCACAGAACCCAGGGCTTCCTGTATACTAGGCAAGTCCTTAACCACTGAGCCACATCCCCAGCCCCAATGTGATATTTTGATATCCAAAATATCCATCACCTCACATATTTCTCTCTCTCTCTCTCTCTCTCTCTCTCTCTCTCTCTCTCTCTCTCTGTATGTGTGATGAAAATACTTAAGGTATTTTGGTTAATTGCAAGCATACAATACATGGTGTTAACTATGTAAATTAGTCTTCATAATTTACTCCTAACTGCAAGGTTGTACCCTTTGACCAACATCGCAGCATTTTCATACTAAATCTTCAAAATCCACGTGTATTTTACATATATGCATGTTTCAGATCACACCAACTATATTCCAGGTGCTCACAAGCCACATGTAGCTCACTAGTGGTTACCATCCTGGGATAGCATAGCCCTAAAGTCACATATCGTGGTGAGAAACCCTAAGAGATCACCCAGCTGATGTGGGTGTGCAACTACATTTACTGCAGGGCACTCAATCTAACTCCAACCTCAGAGCACTGCAATTACCCTGAAAGAAATCAGAACAGAAAACCCATTTCAAAGTCAACCATTCAGGGCCTGGAGTTGTAGCTCAGCAGTAGAGCGCTTGCCTCACACATGTGAGGCACTCAGTTTGAGTCTCAGCCCCACATATAAATAAGTAAATACAGTAAAGGTCCATCAACAACTAAAAATAAAAAAAAGTCAACTGTTCAGTAAAATAGGACAAGTTACATGAATCAAGCTCACATTAGTCCTTGAATTAGCCAATTGAATCAAAATATGTTGAATTATAATGCCAAGAAATCAAAGTAAAGCTGTTGTACTGGAAGTGAAGTCTTGCTGAAACAAAAGTTCAGTCTTCCTTTTCTCTGTTTGTTAGTCTTTTCTTTGTATATCAAAATAATAAATAAACCATATGTATTTTTTTAAAGAGACATAAATGCTGATTTTGTTAGAGAACACAGATTTGTTTTAGTAACCAGTCCAAGGGCAACACAGTCTTTGGGGAAAGAATGGGCTGAAATGTGCCACTTCTGTCCTCGCTGCTGGGTTAGGACACGTCTAATGTGACTCAGTGAGCGTTCACCCTAAAGGCATCACTCAGAAAGGAGCCTGTTGTTCAATTTAGAAACGGCAAAGAAGAGGGATGGGGGCATTGGGGGGATGTTATACATTTTAATGAGATTTTTAAGATTCTTAAGACCCTGTAATGACAGCCCACCATCCTGTGTGCCTTAACTGGGCAGATACTGCATTCTTCACTCTCCATGCTTCAAAAACAGCTAAATTTTCAAGATTAAACATTTTTATGGTTATTGGTAAGTGAGTATTGTGCGTGCGTGTGTACAATCTCAGTGCACTTTATGTTTTAAACTTTCTTTTTATATCTGTTCTTTTTATATATGCATGACAGTAGAGTGTATATTGACCTATTACACATACATGGAGAGTGTCTTATTCTTATTAAGATCCCATTCTTGTGGTTGCACATGATGTGGAGTTACACAGGTCATGTGTTCATATACGAGCATAGGAAAGTTATATCCGGTTCCCATCCCTGCTTCCTTCCCTTCATTCCCCTTTGTCTAATCCAGTGAACATCCTCTGCCTCTTTTGTGTGTTAGCATCCACATATCAGAGAATGCATTCAGCCTTTGATTTGGGGGGACTGGCTTATTTCACTTAGCATGATATTCTCTAGTTCCATCCATATACCAGCAAATGTCATAATTTCATTCTTCTTTATGGCTCAGTAATATTCTATTGTATATATGTGCCACATAGTAAATAGTGTCTTTTATTTCACTTCCAGGTATCCAAACTCGTGTCCTTGATGTCACAAAGAAGAAACAAATTGATCAGTTCGCCAGTGAGATTGAAAGAATTGATGTTCTCTTTAATGTTGCTGGGTAATTTATAACTCTTTGATTTCACTTTCAGAAAGTTTTCTATGACTTTTAAAAAAAATAATTTTGATAATATAGCAAAGTTACTCTTTGTGGACCCTGATACATTCCTTGAGAAGTATGACTAGATTCCAGACGGCATTTTCGTTACCCGTAAGATTCAGCAAGTAAGACAACCAGAGAGACACGCATTTGGGGCCTAAAAGCAGTTTCAGACCATGGAAGACAACTGGTACTGGTGCAATGCTGTGTCATGTGCAGTGGAAGTACCAGTGCTGTATCAGTGTCTGGAAGTGAAATAGTGATTTCTGATTATCTATTTTTAAAATGTAAGAATATACCTCGAGACATGACAAAAACAGCTAAGTTAGTTTTTGAGCATTTATTAAATTTTCAGCAGTGTAGAGGATACAGAAATACAGCATGTGGTTGGTGGTTCTCGCTGGCAGGGGGCTGACCTGTCTGACCAAACTGGGAGTCCTGCAGCACAAGGGAATCCCCCACCAACAATACTTAGTAATTGATTACATAACGAAACCAATAAGGACTCCAGTGTTAAGGAAGCTTCCCTGAGGAAGTGTGACTGGAACAGGAGAGCAGATTATTTTAGGGTTTGGTTTTGTTCTGCCGTGCAAGTAAACAGCAGCCAAGTTGCTTTGCTGTCCTGAGACACTGATTCACACTTGGTTTTCTTGCCAATGATTTTTCTGGAGAGCACTCAATTCACACCACCTGAGGGCACTGTTGCTCTTAAAATAGAGTTGAATGGGGCCGATGTCTTAGATTCATTATTTGTTTTTAATAGCATTGATGTTTCCAGTGCAGCTGATATAGAGCTTCTCTGGTTTGGAAACCCCAAACTCTTGTCTTTTTCTTTTAAAAACAAGAAAAGAAAAGAATATTGTTCTCAGATAACAAACGTTCTAGCTTAAGTTGTTGGGATCCTTACTAACAATATGCTAAGTGATACTATGTTTGAATTATTTAAAGTCTTGATAAGGCAAAGAGACAAGGGTCTAAGTCAATAAGAGTAATTCACAAATGAATTATACATTTTAATAGCAGGTTTTGTTGTTGTTGTTGTTGTTGTTTTGAACAGTGCTAGGGACTGAACTGGGGCCCCATGCATACTGACAAGCACTTTACAGCTGAGCTTTGTCCCTAGCCCTTTAATGACATCACCAACACCACTGTTTAATCCCTCTTTCAGTTTTGTTCATCATGGAACCATCCTGGACTGTGAGGAAAAAGACTGGGATTTTTCCATGAATCTCAATATCCGCAGCATGTACCTGATGATCAAGGCATTCCTTCCTAAAGTAAGGCCACCACCACCACCAGGCTAGCACCACACTAGGTCTCCATGCTGGGCACCTAGGAAGGATGCCCATGTGTGCTGGGGAGTGACTATAGAACAACTAGTGTGCACTGAACATTTAAATCTGGGCATTTGATATCAATTAATTCACTTAACCTCTCTATTCATACGTTCAAGGAATATTTATTAAACACTTTCTACATGCCAGGCTCTATTTCAACCACAGAAGATCCATCAGCAATCAAAATCCTTTTTATGAGAAAGCTTTCATTATTGAAGGGTGAAACAGGATAACAGGTAATTAAATAGACATAGAATATGTGGAGGAGTTGTAAGTACTGTGAAGAAGCCTATGAGATAGTTGCTATCCTATCACATTGTTTTAATCAGCTGCTTCACCGCTGTTAACTAAAAAACCCAAGCAGCACAATTGTAGAGGAGGAAAAGTTTATTTGAGGGCTCACGTTTTCAGAGGTCTTAGTCCATAGAAGGCCGGCTCCATTCCTTGGGGCTCAAGGTGAGGCAGGACCTCTTGGCAGAAAGGTGTGGCAGAGGGAAGCAGCTCACATGGTAATTAGAAAGTAGAGAGAGAGGTCTCCACTCACCAGATACAAATTTATACCCAAAGCCATGCCCCAATTCCCACCTCCTCCAGCCACACGCTACCACTTCAGTGACCACTCAGTTAATCCCTATCAGGGGATTAATCCACTGATTGGGTTAAGACTCTTAGAACTCAATCATTTCTCCTCTGAACCTTCTTGCTTTTGGGAAACACTTCACATCCAAACCATAACATACATCCACAGAGGGTAAAACCGAGAGGTTAGGTCACTTTCCCAAGGTCACACAACCAACCAATGGCTAAAACCCAAATTTGAAGCCTGAAAATTCAGTGCCTCCTGAATTGCACTGGGAATGGATGGACCCTGTTGCCTCTCTCTACCCTGAAGATTCTCCTTTAGCTCCTACTTTAGCTGAGCCACAGGGGTACTAGAGAGAAGAGAGAGGGTGTACAGGAGCACAGACCTATAATCCCAGAGGTTCAGAAGGCTGAGGCAGAAGGATCTCAAGTTGAAAGCCAGCCTATGGAACTTAGTGAGACCCAACCCTGTCTGTAAATAAGATATTTTAAAAAGGGCTGGGGTTGTGGCTGAGTGCTTAAGTGCCCCCGGGTTCAATCCCTGGTACCAAAAATAAAATGAAAGAAAGCAAACATTCCTCTTGAGTTAACTTCTTTTTAATTCTCCAGCCTTCATAAAGCTCATTAATATTTTAAATTTACTTTTACAAACAAGCATTAGAAACCTTTTAGGGAAGTGGCACTAAAGACACAGAGAAGCACAGATGCCAACATCGAGACAGAAGATGGCAATCTACATGCCAAAGAGTGGGCCTCAAAGGAAATCATTCTAGCAAGCGCTCTGGAATTAGGACATATAAATTTCTGTCCTTAAACACCCCATATTTGGCACTGTCTTATGACAGCCTTATGAAACGGATGCAGCCCACTGTCCCTGAAGCATGACTGAATAAAGGTACAATTGAATCACAACACATTCCACCAGCATTGAAAGGTTGAATTGCTGCAAGAAATGGCATTTCTAACTGGAATATTATGAAGGCATGTTAGGACAGAGCACCTTACCTGTTGGGGATATAGTGATTTGTTTTGTGATATGGCACAGTTATAAAAATATGTAGAAGAGTTTAGCCTTCTTGTTTGGGTAAACCTCGCTCCTTTGTGTAAATACTTTCCTCGTAAGAGTGTTAGTATTTAAGTCTTGTAAAAGGACTGAAAGTACAGTGGACTTGATTGCTACACAAGTTAGCTGGGCAGGTAATTAAAACAAAAACAATAGCAACAGTAAAGAAATACTCATTGCCCAGTATAAATTGAAAACAAACAAACAAAACCCTTTTCAGTAGGAAGTATTCTACTAGGTTCTCTGGGGGTATAAATGTAGGATACATGCAGCCCTGACTTTGAATGAGCTCATAAGCCATTAATAGCAGACAATGAAAGAGACTGAGTACAGAACTGGCTCAGCTCAAGTTTGTAAAGTGAACCCTGGTGAAATGCAGAGGGGACACTGTTGCCCTCCTGTCCTGGCTGAATTAGATGACTGGGGGTTTTGAATGCCAGTCAACCCAGGACTGGAGAAGAGCTGTGTTAAGGACGCAGCAAAGCCGATACTTTGCTCTGAGAGTCAACCAGATGTCAAGAAGGATCCAGGTGAACATTAGCAGCAAGATTAAGGAAACTAACTTGATAATGAAGGAAATGTTTGGGTTTTTTTTTGTTTTGTTTTGTTTTATCTGTTTAGTGCCTATAAGGGATCTTAGGTGTGCCCAGGAATGAATGAAAATATAAATGATTTATATTATTATATTTTATATTATTATATTTTATATATACATATATAAATAAAATATTATTTGGAACTTCCATGTATTTTTGGAAGACAGATCCTTTGCACAGTATATGAGGATGAAGCAGAGCCCATGGTAAGGGGGAAATTACATCACAGTGGGTAAGACATGTATGAGACTCATTGGTAAAACAGAGCCCACTGCTAAAGTACTCACAAATACTAGATAAGGAAGTAGGTGTTGAGTATAGTGAAGCTGAAATTTAAACATGTAGGTTAACTTTCTAAATATACCAAGGTCAACTTGTAAATTAATAAACTTGTCTATGACTTGAAGCTCTGTTTTTTTTTTTTTTCCTCCCAGGTATTAAGGTTTGAACTCTGGTTCTCACACTTGCTAGGCAAGTACTCCACCATTGAGCTGCATCCCTACATCTTTTTATTTTCCATTTTGAGATGGTCTAAGTTGCCCAATCTGACCTTGAATTTGCCATCTTCCTGCTTCAGCCTCCCAAGTAGCTAGGATTCCAGTCATGCCACCATACTCAACTTTAATCTTAACAATGATCTATAAGAGGCAATAACACACATTTATTTAAAAAAAAAAAACTTTGAGATGTAGTTATAATTAGGATGTAAAATCAGAAGGATTCAGTGCAAGTTGTTTAAAGTGGCTCAGACTAACTTAATTACCAGTTTCAAACACTTGCATCAGAAGTCCCCAGGCACGGTCTCAATTCTGTCTCAAATCAGCCAGGTGCCTTGGGAGATGACACATGCTCTCTTTCTCGGTATTTATTTCTTCTATCCAAAAATGAGGGCCAGAAATTGTGCAATCACTTCCAGCCCTAACTATGTAGGATCTTCCCTGTCATAAACTATGACACACATATACCAGTTGGAACTTTCCAGAGGAAGCCAGGCTTTAGAGCCTGGGCAGAACGGAAAGATCAGGTTGTCAAAACACAGAAACAGTTGCAGAATAATTTTGTTTATGTGGAGATACAAAAAAATAAATAAATAAAATAAAGAACACTGCAAGATTGAAAGATCAGTCAAAAAACAGAGCACAAGGTGAACATACTGTAAGAAGAGGTCCATGCAGAATGCAAGTTCCACCAGAGGAGAAGATCCATTAGGGAAAAAATTGGGGCCTGGCCTGAGCTAGTGTTGGGCAAGGAACATAGCCTAGAAGAAGTGAGCAATGTCTTCAAAATTGGCTGATGGTCCTGGGTCAAATGGATAGTATGAGTGTCAGTGGGCAGGACAAATGCCTCCAAGGTGACTGTTTTCTAAGTTTTGCCCAAAGAATTACTGCATTTCGGAAGACTGGAGACTGAGCCTACATAATAGCCTTCTTTATATATTAAAATAGCTTGAATATATTCTCAGTGTATTATAAGTAGATTAGTTACTAAATTGAATGAGAAAGAGCGACTTTAAGGCTTAGTTTATACGTAAGATAGTTTATACCAGTAAGATAGTTTATACCAGTAAGCATTACTAACATTCCTGAGTTTATACCAGTAAGCATTACTAACATTCCTGATCCCTTTAAGAGAACCCCAATTCATGATGATCCCCTTTATCATATAAGGAAACACAAAATATTAGTTTTTCCTAGCTATCTTCCTTGACATGGTTGGGTCACCACAGCTTCCCTTGGTGTCCATTTAGTACATTCACACAATGCCTTGGGGCTATTGTAGATTGTCAGTTCTTAGGTACAATTAGTAGCTAAGTGTTAGAACCAAAAGTAAGTCCTAGTGACTCAGGAGGCTGAGGCAGGAGGATCACAAGTTTGAGGTCAGCCTTAGCAACTTAGCCCTAAGCAATTTAGGGAGACCCTATCTCAAAATAAAAAATAAAAAGGGCTGCAGATGTGGCTCAGTGGCTCAGCACCCCTGGGTTCAATCCCCAGTACAAACAAACAAAAACCAGAAGGTAGAAAAAGTACAATAAAGAACCCTATCATCTTGGCCAGCCTAACCCTGGATTTGTCTGTCACATACCTCTCCCTTTCCTACACCTCTTTTTTTCCTGAAAACTGCTAAAGAAACTCACCTTGACAGAAGTGATTTTTTTTTTCTCTAGACCCTTTGCATCACCTATAGAGACCCCTCCTTTTTAAAACCCTTTCTTTACTTCATTTTCAAGATATGACCACCCTGCTGGGTTTCCTGCGGTTCTCTAGTTTGTTCTGCACTACCCCCAGCAGTGATGTTAACACTTTGCTGCTCTCTTACTCTCCACCATCTCTGCCTTGTTCTTTTTTTTTTTTTTCTTTTCATTTGTTCTAGTTTGGTATACACGACAGCAGAATGCATTTCAGTTCATAGTACACAAATGGAGCACAGTTTTTCGTATCTCTGGTTGTACACAAAGTAGAGTCACACCATTTGTGTCATCAGACATGTACTTAGGGTAGTGATGTCCATCTGATTCTTGTTGGCCATCTGCCTTGCTGTTGATTTCATGGGAATTTAGTGCCAAGAGTTCTTTCAGCTTCCTGCTTCTTTCCCCAAAGCAGCCACGGTGCCCATGTCCTTACACATATTCCTATAATCTCAAAAAACATTCATGTTATGGCTAACAAAGCATACGTTCATTTGAAAACCTTTTTGTAATTCATAGCAGCTGTGTGTATTATAGATTCTGTTAGGTTTGGGACAGGACCCAGCAATCTGTCTTCTAATCTAGCACCTCAGGAAATTTTGATTCATCAAATTTTATTGATGGTCTACTGTGTAACCTTTCTAAGGGCACAAAATAGCCAAAGTCCCTCCTCTTGTTGAATTTACATTTTAGTGGGGAAAGCCTGAGGGAGGCATCCTTAGGAAACACTGTCCTGAGTGGGACTCACTTCACTGCAGTAACTACGGATCAAGTCCTGCCTACCCAGCTGGTGATTGCTACCTCTGCTCCTCAGACATTTCTGGGACCCCACTTTTACCATCTTTTCCTCAATCACTACATCAGCTTTCACTGGTCTCTGAATGCTGCCACAGTAGTCTCTGTAATCCTAAATCTGAATCGGCCTCTCCTCCTCAGCTTTAAACCCTTCCATGTCACTGACTCGGGTTCTTTGGTTTAGCCCCTGATGAACTCTGCACCCTCATTCTTTCAATACTCTGTGTTCCAGCCAGGCCCATCCACTCCTCCCAGTTTGTACATGTGATACCCTTCCCTTGAAACACTCTTTTATTTTTCTAATACTTTAGTTTTGGGAATTCTGTCCTTATACCTCCCACTCAGGAGCTCCCCTCCAAGTGCCCCCCCCCCCACCACCAGCCTGGATTGGTGCCTCCTGCCCCCACCCTTCCCTTAGATCTCTGGAGTTCTTCACTGTCATTAGACTTTGATTATGTCAACCACACCAGGCTGGCTGGCTGATTGACTGCTCCCTATAGACAGGGCTGTGTCATTTATCTCTGAATCTCCCGAACAGTTAGTATTCAACAAATAGGTGTTGAGCTAGTCACAGTGGCACATGCCTGCAATCCCAGCAACTCAGGAGGCTGGGGCAGGACATTCAAGGCCATCCTGGGAAACTCAGTGCAACTCTCTCAAAATAAAAAATTCTGGGGTGTAGTTCAGTGATAGAGCTCCCCTGGCTCAATGCCCAGTTCCACAACACAAAAGATATGTGTGTGTGTGCATGTGTGTGTTTTGAATGGAGTGATAATGTCCTAACATCAGGAATACACCGTAATGATTGGCTTCCATTCGTATTCCATTTGGCTCCGAGTTCATCCTTGGTCATGGACTATGGGAAGGTGGTAAGGCTCCTCAGAGATGTCAGTGAATGTGTCACAGGCCACCAGTTCCCAGTGGCAGATGGGTGGGCCGGGTGTTGTGGGTTTACTGTTAACAGTTTCTAACACAAATAGTTAATGCCACGGTTAAATTGGTTCTGCAAACCATAAGTAAATTAAAACATTTTAAAGCCAGAGTATTTTGAGCTACAGAGTATCTCCCTGTTCACAGTTGTTTTGTTTTGTCAGATGCTTGCTCAGAAATCCGGCAACATTATCAACATGTCCTCTGTGGCCTCCAGCATCAAAGGTAGGAGTGCCTTCCTTCCTCTGGAGTTCATGATGCTCACACGCACACACTTATGAGCTGTGGGTTTTGGGAGTACACATAGCTGAGGTCATAAAACCCATATATCATTTCAAAACTGCTTTTTTAAAATGTTGGTAATACATTCCTTGACCATCAGACCTATTGTCATAGACATAAAATTAAATATCTTCTTTGTCTTCCTGTTCTGCAGGGGCTCTGTCCCAGGGAACAGATTCAGGGTTCAGCAGGTAGAAGAAGATGTGAGGCATATTGGTCAACCTTTATTCAGAGACGGCCATAGCCATTAGCCAGCCCCCATTTTCAGCTTCAGCCCCTAGTTCCATTTTAGCCCCCACCCCAGCCCATTTCCATAGGCCCTTTTTATATGCAGGCCAAACAAATAAGGCACACTACCAACAGGGGCAGGGGGGGTAGTGGTGCATACTCACAAGTTAATGTGTGTGACCTTGAGTCTATACACTGAGTCACAGTGTTTCTGGCCTTGACTAACCCTTACATAGTCAGTTCTCAGACCTGGCTACACACTAAAAATATAACGTAGGGCCTGGGGTTGTGGCTCAGTGGTAGAGGGCTTGCCTAGCATGCATGAGGTACTGGGTTCTATCCCTGGCACAACATTAAATATAAACAACTAAATAATCTGCAACTAAAAAAATATTTTAAAAAAAGAAAAAAATTTAATAATAATAATAAGAAGAAGAAGAAGAAGAATATAGCCCATCAGAAGTTTTGGCGAGGGAGCCTTACTACAGCCATTTTGGGGCCAGCCCTAACACTTCCCTTTTATTTCTTCTAATGGACATGGAGATGACTGTGGAGCTGGGGAAGGAAGCATTTATCAGTTAATTAATCCAAAATTATATACTGAGTTGGGCACAATGGTACAACCTACAATCCCAGCTACCTGGGATGCTGATGTAGGAGGCTCCTGAGTTTGAGCGTAATTTGGACAGCATAGTGAGACCCTGTCTAAAAAAAAGAAAGAAAGAAAATGAAGAAAAGGGAGAAGAAAGGAAAGATCCATGTACCTGAAATTACTCTGCAAAATGGTAAAATGCAGTTATAAATGTTAACATAAACTTCTATTCCTCAGAAAAAGTAAAAACAAACAAACAAACAAAAAACACAAAAGATGATAGAATGATAGAGTGAGCACCTGCCTCCCCAAATTCATAGTCCAAAAGGAGGAGAAAGGCAGGCAAACAGCATCCTACAGTGTGAGAGTGTTCTAACAAGAGGTTTGTGCAAAGTGCCCTCACATTATAGGGGAGGGGACTCTGCCCAAGGGTTTGAGGAATGCTTCCCAAAGGCAGTTGATTTAGACTCTGAATGAGAAGCCAAGTCGAAGGAATAGGATGGCAGGGGAAAATGGAGATAATGTCACAGCCTGGCTCAGGTGGATCTGAGTTTTAAATGAAACAGCTACTGCTGAGGTAATGTTTCTTTTCTTCTCAAGGACACACACTCTCAGCATGCTCAAGGGAGGAATGTAAAGAAGTGCCTACACTTGTATATATTGCTTGTTTTTTGCTTGGTTTTGTTTCTCCTCCATTTTTTTTTCTTTTAGAATCTGCTTAAGAGTTATAGCAATGGACAACAAGAAGCAGACTGCTGTTGGTTATTGAGTAACTGCAGCATCTCAACACCTGGGTCTCAGTTAAATTGTGCCTATACTAAAATTATTTTCCTAGGTGCGGCAACTGGCCTATTAAAGGAGAAAACCTGATTTCTTTCTTTCTTTCTTTCTTTCTTTCTTTCTTTTTTTTTTAAGGAGGGTGGGAGGAAGCAGGAAAATACTATTGAGAAAACTACCTTGTATTTCCTCTCTAAAAGAGACTGTGTTTCTGATTCCTTCAATTGTCCCTCTTTGCCTTGCCCCTCAGGAGTGGTGAACAGGTGTGTGTATAGCACCACCAAGGCAGCCGTGATTGGCCTTACAAAGTCCGTGGCTGCAGACTTCATCCAGCAGGGTATTAGGTGCAACTGTGTGTGCCCAGGTGAGTCCGGCAATTTCAGGGCTGTGAACTTGTCCTTTCTGATATCCTGTTTGCCACTGTGAGAGACATTTTGCGTAAGTTCATTTACCAAATGTTACATTGTATTCTGTCATTGGGAAAAGTTCAAAAGAAAGATTCTGGTCTTCCTAAGGTAAGAGTCTTCCAGTTGTAAGTTGGGAAAGAGACCCTTAGTCATTAGGAAAGAGTCACAGATGCAAAGGATTTAAAAGCCACCCACATGTGCAGGGCAATTTGCAATCAAGTGCCTAAGACAAAACTTGTTAGGGCCTGATGTTTGGGAATCAGACCAGGGTGACCTTATCAGGGGAAAGCTAAAAAGCAGACCATGTTTATAAGACAGGAGGGAGAAAGTAAAGGGAGTCTGGCAGAGCATAGGGATCTATCCAAATCATGGGGCGACTCAGAAATCAAAAGGAGACTTTAACCCTTCTTTATGCAATAAAAAGGGGCCTGCAAACTAAGGTCTGCAGGCCAACTCTGGATACCACCTGTTTGGTTTTAAAGTTTTATTGGAACACACTCACAGTCAGCTTGCCATGTATTGGCTGTGTTTTCAGGCTGCAAAGGCAAAGACCAAATGGATCTCAAAGCCAAAAATGTTTGCTATTTCTATCAAAAAAAGTGTTCTGGCCCCTCATACAAAGGAAGAAGAAAAGTGAGACTTTCAGTAACTGTGGATGTGTCTGTTTGATAGATATTGCTTTGACCTAGTCCCACCACCCAAAATGAATAGAGGGTACCTAATGATTATTACTGTCCTCCAAAAAGAAACACTGCCTATGCAAGATCATAGTTTTCAGAAGTTGTCTACTGACGTTGGAGGATTTGGGAGGACTATTTTTAAATTACCTGTGGGACCTTTCCAAACCTGAAGGGCATGGCATGCCAGAATTTGGGGAAGGAGTTGATGGGGGAGAACTGCCTGTCTTTTGGAAAGTCCCACAAGAGATTCTGCTTGAATCTTGGGATAAAAACCACTTACAGGAGGGAAAACTATGAAATATCCTTCCAGCTACAGATTTTCAGTGATTGAGATATGCTGCTTTATTTTTCTTGGAGTAGAAATGTAAATATAGATAACACTAAGAAAAAGAATAAAACAGGAGAGAGGGTTTCTCTGGGTTTTGATGTACACATTGGTGTTACTTGAATGTAGCCATTCTTGGCACTATTTACCCAGTGGAGGAAAAAAATGGCAAAATGGTTTGGAAAATGTGGTTATTTCAGCAGCTGGATTTTTCATAAGATTGGAAAATATGTTCCCAAAGTCTGTGGAACAAGGAACAGTCTGTGATTCACAGAGCCAAACACAGAAGAAACCTGAGCAGGAATGAGTGTGACGGGGACGGTGCTGATGATGTGAGTCAGGAATCTCCAACCAGATATGCGTAGACAGGGTGTCTGTCCGTCTGTGTCATGGACCCAGCAGAGTCAAGTGACAGCTGAATTCATCTGCAGGCATTGGCTTGCTCTACAGTTTTCATTTAATAGCCATCAGCACCAGCCCTGTAAGATGCCATGCTCACCCACCTCAGTGACAGCAAACTCTTAAAGCTTTAAGGGTTTTGAGGAGAGTGTAGAAACTGAAGGTACCCCCTGATAGTAAAACTTTGGACATTAAGGAAGCTGTTGACAAGGGGGGAAACATTGGAAAGTGGGCAAAAGCAGACCTTAGTTCCTGTAGTAATGTGAAGGTAGAAAATATTTCTAATGAACTGGGTGATCTAGCTAAGGCAGTTTCCACCCAGCGTGTTGAAAGTGCTGTCTGCTTATGATAAAGTGTAAAAAGAGAGAAAGAACCTGAAGAAAGGGCTCACCTGACATGTAGGTGTCAGGGTTTCTGATTTTGAGGATTCTCAGCCTCTCCATTAGAAATGGAAAAAATGATACCACAACTAAGAATTTTTTTTCCCTTTTTTTTCCTCCAAGGGGTTGAACCCAAGGATCTCCAGCTCTCTTTTTAAAATTATTATTATTATTTTATTTTGAAACAAAGTCTTGTCAAGTTGCATAGGGCCTTGCTAAGTTGCTGAGGCTGGCCTTGAACTTGCAATCCTCCTGCCTCAGCCTCCTGAGTGGTAGTGATTAGGATTATAGCTGTACGCAACCATGCTCAATTTAAGTAATGGTTTCAGAGCAGAGATCAGGTCTATGGCATTCTCAGGAGCACATTCTAAAGATGAAGCTGAGGGTATGACTGTAAAAGCATTTGTTACATTTGTTACAACCTCAAAAGATCACATGGTTCCCCAGAGTACTAGACTGTACGGTCTCAAAAAAAAAAAAAAGTCCTCTAAAGAGAAATTACAGATTATATGAGTTATAATCTGGGAAGTCTTGGGCTGGGATTGTGGCTCAGCGGTAGAGTGCTCGCCTAGCACGGGCAGGACCCAGGTTCGACCCTCAGCACCACATAAAAATAAAGGCATTGTCCATTACACCTAAAAAATAAATAAATAAATAAATAAGAAGTCTGGAGAGCTTGCTGTAGAAACACATGGACTTTAAAATTTTAGTTTCATTCTTATTTTTCTTTTCTTTTTGGTGCTAAGGATTGAACCCAAGGGTGCTTAAACACTGAGCCACATCCTCAGTCCTTTTTATCTTTATTTTGAGACAAGTTTTCACTAAATTGCTTAGGGCCTCACTAAATTGCAGACGTTGACTTTGAACTTGCAATCCTCCTGCCTCAGTCTCCTGAGCTGTTGGGATTACAGGAACACATGCTACCATGCCTAGCTTATTTTTCTTTTTCAAAGTAAAACAATTTCAAATCATAATTTTTATTAAAAATTTAAAACAGTGGTTAAAAACAGGAATTTAGAACCAATGAAAATAGGCAAAATTTTAAGGAAGATTTATAGCCACCTAAATCACCAAGAATGATGGCAGTGTTGGAGTTGTACCTAAGGATCCCTACAGAAAACTTATCAGCAAAGAATGTTTTTGAGATCATTAAGGCAAACTGGATGATAAAATGCTTGGATGATTTTATTTACATCTCATTGTGGTTGTTACAAATAATCATAGTCTGTTTGAGAAAAATCATAGTAATGTTATTAAAGAAGTTACATGTCAAGAGATCAGGCAGCCAAGGAGAAATTGTCATTTTAAGTCAAAGGAGAAGGGTGTCACTAATTGTATTATATGGAAAGGAAGTTTAAAGTTTAATTATCTACTTTTTTGGTTTAAAGAAGTAACCAAACTGAATGTCATCCTGGGATTTAGGAACCGTTGATACCCCATCTCTGCAAGAAAGAATACAAGCCAGAGAAAATCCTGAAGAGGTATTACTAGAATTTTAAATATGTTTAAACATTTTGGTTAAAAAAATGTCCTCTTCCTTACCCAGAGTAGACAAATTCATAGAGACAGAAAATGGTTACCAGGGGCTGGGGCAGAGGGGAATGAAAAGTTACTACTTTATAAGTATGGAGTTTCGTTTTAGCAAGATGGAAAGCATTCTGGAGATCAGAAGGTGGTAAGACAATGTGAATGTCTTTAACACTACAGAACCGTGCACTTAAAATAGTTAAATTGTAAATTTCATGTTACATGTTTTACCATAAAATAAAATAAAAAACATTCTTCTTTTATATCAGCTTTCTGATGTGTCACAGCATCTGTAGGTGTCATTATATCATGGATAGTTTGAGCACCTTGGGTGAAAGAATCACCATAACCCCAGCTGATGGTTCTTCAAGGTGGCAAACCCATAGTTCCTTTGTAGATTTCCTTGCTTTTCACACCTTAAAGAAGTTGCAGGTGTGCACACATGTCAGCCAGCATCACTGATGTCTGGAATGGTCTCTGATCCCAGGCACTGAATTATTTCCTGAAGAGACAAAAGACAGGAAGATTTGCAACTGCGGAAGAAGTAGCCCTGCTCTGTGTATATCTGGCTTCTGATGAAGTAAGCATCTCTCTTCCCAGGAAGCTCATTACCCTCCATCACATTTGACTACTATTTTCTCATCAACCTAAAGTCGTTCAGGTTGGCACATGTATGCTGAGGTGCTGTGTTTACGAGATAGGGGCATGTTCTGATTTAATCTATTTAAGGAAAGGCCATTTGATCAGAGCCAGTGATCCCCTTATTCAACTTCTGTGTGTTTGTGTGTGTGTGGTGCTGGGATTAAATCCAGGGACACTCCATTATTGAGGCTACATCTGCACCCCTTTATATATATTTTTTTAAATTTTGAGACAGCGTCTTGCTCAATTACTAAGGCTGACCTCAAACTTGCAACCGTCCTGCCTCAGCCTCTCGAGTAGCTGGGATTGTAGGTGTGCGCCAGCACACTTGGCTCCCTTATTCAATTTTAATGTCTTAAAATCATAAAGCAAAATAAATGGAGGACTACTTTCAAAAATTATAATTTGTCAGATGTGGTAGTACATGCCTGTAATCCCAGCTATTCAAGAGGCTGGGAGGTGGTAATCCCAGCTTCCTCAAGAGGCAGGAAGACTGCAAATTTGAGGCCAGCCTCAATAACTTAGACTCCGTCCCAAAATAAAATTTTTAAAACAGGGGTGATAGTGACTGTGGATGTAAGTCAGTAGTTGGTTAGAGTATTTGCCTAGTACAAACAAGGCCCTGGGTTTCGTCCTCAGCAGAGGAAAACTTAAAATTGGAGACATCCTGATTAAGTGTAAGTCAGGGGGAACTTCTAGGGTTGCAAGAGCTTCTGAAGAACTGGGGAGAGTGTTAAGGGGTTCATCAGATTTAGTTGTGTTCAGGGGAGTCAGGATTGATATGTGGTGTTTTTAGTTTTACTGGTGATTTGTTAGGGAGAATTCTACTGGCTGTTTTTTTTTTCCTATTACTTAGTTTTCATTGTGTATGAAAATTCTTAACTCTCTCCTACTTTGCATCTGTTTAGCAACCAATTTCATCCTTAATGCCTAGTGTGTATTTTTAAATGACATACAGCTGAGAAAACAAAAACTACATTATAAGGTATAGAGCACAAGAGCATCCTCTTTTGTTTTATGTCTTTGAATATTACATAAACAGGGATCTGGGATGAATGGGAAGAGAGGAGGACAGGGTTGGAGTGGGACTAAGGAGGTGTATTACTCATCAGTTAGCTCCTCTTTACAGTAAAGTGGTGCACACCAGATGGCTGGTGAGTGTGGCAAATACAGGATTGAAATGTTTTAGTGACAGAGGAGCCACCACTTCTCAGACCTGTTAGCAAACCTTGTTAATGGCCAGAGAAAGGGCTAGGCAGATTATTAGTGGAGCAAGCACAATAGCCTGTGTGATTCCTCTGACTCCATATCTTCATAAGAGCTCATTTGCTTTAAAAATACTGCTGATGATAAGTCATATTATCCTTATGTTGCCAAATATCAAATATTCTTAATATGTGTAACAAAAATGGCATTTGTTTTGGTTGAGGAGCTAGAAGCAGTTCATAGTAGAGTTTGCTTTTCTTTTTCTTTTTTTTTTTTTTTTGGTACCAGGAATTGAACCTAGGGACACTTAACCACTGAGCCACATTCCCAGTCCTTTTTTATATTTTATTTAGAGACAAGATCTTGATGAGTTGTTTAGGGCCTTGCTAAATTGTGAAACTGGCTTCGAACTCTTGATCCTCCTGCCTTAACCTCTGAGCCCCTGGGATTACTGGCGTACACCACCGTGCCCTGCTAGAGTTTGCTTTTTGAAGGAACTTAGGGATCATTTCTTTAGTAATGTGACCAATAACCCCCAAGTTTTTCTGATTTATGGTATCAGTTTTCATATATTGAACTTTTAAATTTTCCATACTCATAGTATAATGTCTTTCTAGAACCTCTTTCATTGTTTCAAGCTTTAGATTGATTTAAAACTTTGAGACTTACTTATCCATTTTAAGTTAAAAAGATTTTTAGTTTTCAACTTGGGAGGTTGAGGCAGGAGGATTGCAAGTTTAAAGGCAGCCTTAGGAACTAAGCAAGACCTGGTCTTAAAATAAAAATAAAAAGGCTGGGGACATAGCTCAGTGGTAGAGAACACCTGAGTTCAATCCACAGTGTTGGAAAAAAAAAAAAAGGAGGAGGAGAAGATGTTGAAACTTCTACCACAAGGATCACTCCAGCTTTAGTTCTTTGGAAAATGAAAAATTGTGTGAGCATAAACCAGAAATTATATTTTAAAATCCTTTGTTAACTAAATATACATTGTCTGTTTTTTTAACTTTGTTCATTGACATGAACCCTTTATGACTGACACACTTATGTTGAAAAGTCTATTAGTGGTCAAAACTAAGCCAGTTTTGAATAGTTGTGAGTATTAGAATGAATATATGGTATTTTAGCCTACACTTTATCCTGGTTTGGGGAATGGCTATATATCACCACTACTTAACTTTGTGATTCTGAAACCATATACCCAACTAATCCTGTTTAAGATGTAGCATCTTCTTGGATACTGGACAGGGGCCATTTAGCTCCAGTTCACAGGTCAGCAGTTCTAAATCATTCAAACTTTAATTTCAGTTTTCCTAAATTCAAATTGTAAGTAAGGTTTTCTGTTCGCATGAGAATCAACTGTTTGCAGTCATAGAAAAAAAAATTGCAAGCCTGTGTCACACTTGTTTAACTGTTGTGTCTCTTTATGTTTATTACTGCAGTCAGCCTATGTGACAGGCAATCCTGTCATCATTGATGGAGGATGGAGCCTGTGACTGCAGGATCTCCTGGTGGGGAAGGCAGGACCTTCTTGCCCATGGTGAACCTGGTTGTGAAGAAAACTCAGTGATCATCTCTCTCCTAGGAATGACATTAATGAAAATGAGCCTTTTAAAATTATTGTTCCCAAGAATCTAGTTCTTTAATTAATTTCTTTCCTAATCTCTTCTGAAATCATTGTAAGTCAAATAAAAAATATTGAACTCATTATCAAAATAATTTTTAAAATAGACTTCAATTTGTAAGCATCTTAGTTCAGGCTGCTATAACAAATTACTATACACTGGTGGATTAAACAACAAGCCTAATCTTCACATTTTGGAGGCTGGCAAATGCAAGGTCAAGATGCCAGCAGATCTGATGCCAGGTTGCCAGGCCGGAAGGGATTTTAAGGGTTTATGTTCCTTTTTCTATGCTTGACCTTTCTCAAGTAGAAAAAAAATTGGGATCTTACACTGCAAACTCTGTCTCTTATATTAAAGAGTTTCAATACTTAACTCAAGCCTATAGCCTCACCTTTCATGATTTCTATATGATTCTGTCCAATACTCTCCTCCCTGAGGAAATGAGTAGGGTCTGGGACCAGGCTAGGGCCTATGCAGACCAGGTTCATCAGACTAATGCCCACCATCCACTAGAGGCCCAGGCGGTTCCAGACCAAGACCTCCGTTGGGATTATAATGACCCCCAAGACCTGAGACACAGGGACCACCTTATTACCTGTCTGATAGCTGGCCTAAAGGCGGCAGCACAAAAGGCTATTAACTTTGATAAACTCCAGGAAGTCATCCAGAAGAAGAATGAAAACCCCTCAGCCTTCCTAGACCGACTAACAAAGGCTTTTGTTCAATACACTAATTTGGACCCTGAATCCCTGGATGGGAGGCAACTTCTTATGACCTATTTTTTCCTCACAAAGCTACCCTGACATCCGGGAAAAGCTAAAAAAAAATTAGAGAGGGGACCCTTGACTCCTCAGACCGAGGTGTTGGCCATGGCCTTCAAGGTCTACCACAACAGAGATGAAAGAGCAAAACACCAAAAATGCCAGATGTTGGCCCAGGTGTTACAGGGCTCCTTCCAACCTATTGAAAGGGGGAGACAACAGCCCCCACAATGAGGAGCCCCTGCTTTAAGTGTGGTGATGAAGGGCATTGGGCTAGGGCTTGCCCTAACCCCAGGGCGCCACCCAGACTGTGCCTCAGATGCCGACGTCCTGGCCACTGGGGATCAGACTGCCCCAATTCCCAGAAGGGAGCTGAGGTCAGTCACCCCACCAGTGACTTGCTGGGCCTAGCAGCTAAGGATTGACAGGGCCCTGGGTCTTCTGTCCCGACCTATTCAATCACCAAGCAAGAGCCCAGGTGGTTATCCGAGTGGATGGGCATCCCATAAACTATTTGGTAGACACTGGGGCCACATTGTCGGTTCTGAGAGAGTTTTGGGGAACTACCTATCCCTCCGAATTTCCTATTGTTGGGCTAGGAGGTCAAACCATCATCCCATGCAGAACTCCTCCCCTCACGTGCTCCTTAACTGAGTTCTCCTTTTCACACCATTTTTTGGTTATGCCTCAATGTCCGGTCCCCTTGCTGGGAAGGGATATATTATCCATCTTGAAGGCCTCCATAACCATACGCTTATTGTCCTCCCCTACTCATATCTCCCTCATGGCTTTACTTCCTGACGAAGAAGAGACTTTACCTCTTTGTTTCTGGTGTGGAGATGCCAACGACCACCAGAACACACATTTCCCCCTCCCCTGTAAAATAGTAGATCCAATTGTATGGGACACTGAAACCCCGTCCTCTGCAAATTGCTCTCCCGTGGAAGTGCATCTTAAAGACCCTAACCACTTCCCAAACCAGGCCCAGTACCCACTGCCAAGTGCCAGTCTTAAGGGCCTAAAGCCAATCATTCAGAGCTTACTAAGAAAGGCGTTCCTCCATCCCACAAACTCTCCATTCAATACCCCAATTTTAGCAGTAAAAAAGCCTAACGGAACACACCATTTGGTGCAGGACTTAAGGTTAATAAATTCTTCAACCAGGCTCATACATCCCTTGGTTTCAAACCCTTATACTCTCCTTCCTCCATTCCTGCAAACTCCACCTGTTTTTCAGTTATTGATCTTCAAGATGCCTTCTTTTCAATTCCACTATCCATCTCTTCCCAAGACATATTTACTTTCACCTGGACTGATCCAGAAACTATATATTCCCGACAGTTAACCTGGACTGTCCTGCCTCAGGGGTTTCAAGACAGCCCACATATTTTTGGACAAGTCCTCGCTGGAGATCTTGAGGATTTTTTTCCCTCTATGCCCAGACTCAACCCTCCTACAATATGTTGATGACCTCCTCCTCTGTAGTCCCTCATTACAAACCTCAAAGTCTGACATAGCCACCTCCTGAATTTTCTTGCTCACCGAGTTTATAGGGTTTCTCCACAAAAGGTACAGCTCTCTCTCTCTCTCTGAGGTTGTTTACTTAGGGTTCCACTTTTCCCAAGGGAAGAAAGCTATCACAACCGATAGAAAAGGCCTTATTGAAAGCCTTCCAGTACTTGGAGGAGATTCTCTCGTTCCAGGTCTGGCAGGCTATTTTAGGGCATGGGTACCAAATTACTCATTACTTGCCAGACCATTATATGATCTAGCAAAGGGAAACAAGCATGAGCCCTTGTTAGTTTCAGCTACACCACATTTCAGAACCCTCCAGAAGGCCCTCTTACAAGCATTGGCCCTACATCTGCCAGATGTTAATAGGCCTTTACTCTCTATGTTCATGAAAACAAAGGGCAAGGCTTGGGGGTGCTGGGACAAATGTATGGGCCCACCTTCGCTCCGGTGGCATACCTCTCAAAACAGTTAGATCCAACTGTCTGAGGATGGGCTCCTTGTCTCCGCACCCTAGTGGCCGCCTATGTTTAATTAAAAGAATCGCAAAAGCTTACCTTTGGAGCTCAAATCACTGTCACTTCTCCTCATCACCTTGAGGACTTGCTAACATACAAAGGACTGCAAACCCTCCCTCCCTGTCGAATTCTCTCTCCCTTGGTCTCTTTCCTCTATGACTCTTCTATGTCCTTCCAAACCTGCACCCCTCTCAACCCAGCAACTCTGTAACCCATTCAGGCTTAAGGTCAAACACAGTCCCCAACACATAAATGCAGGGAAATTGTAGAAAACTTCCTCCCATGCCCAATTGATATCACTGAGGGACCTCTAGACCAATCTGATTACACCTGGTTCACTGATGGCAGCTCCTTTATGCATGAGGGGATCAGAAAAGCTGGATATGCCATAGTGTCCCTATCACGAGTAATAGAAGCCAATCCCCTGCCTGCAAATACCACCAACCAACAGGCTGAGCTGGTAGCTGCAACTCGAAGCTGCGAATTGGCAGCAGGGAAAAATCTTACACTTTATACTGATTCCAAATATGTTTTCCACATTCTCTTATCTCATGCAGCAGTTTGGAAGGAGAGAGGTCTCCTGAACTCAAAGGGCACCTCTATAACCAACTCCACATACATCACCCAGCTACTACAAGCCTCCCAGCTTCCTAAAAAACTTGGAGTTATCTATTGCAGATCACACCAAAATGATTCCTCCCCGCCACACAGGGAAATTCAAAAGCAGATCAGGCAGCCATGTCAGCCGCCCTTTAAGACCCCACCAGATCTCTCATCGCCATGTGCTCTCCAACATTACCCAATAGCGGAGACCCACCAAAACATGCCCTCTTTACTTACCTCCACTCCATTTTCCACACCAGTCCGCAGACTCTCAAAGCCTTTCTCCACTCTTTCTTTACTCTGACTCCCCAGGATAAAGAAGTGATACAGCAAATCACAGCCTCATGCCAGATATGCAAAAGAGTGAATCCCAATACATCTTTAAAACCTGGAACCTTCCCTTCTCATCAGGCTAGGGGCCATATACTGGGGCAGATTGGCAAATTGACTTTACCAAGATGCCCAGAGTAAAAAACTTCAAATACATACTAGTTTTAATAGACACATTCTTGGGTTGGGTAGAGGCCTTCCCCACCTCAAATAAGCCGGCTACCATGGTGGCTAACATCGTCCTAACCGAAGTAATCCCTCAGTTTGGGATGCCCGCTTCAATCCAATCTGACAATGGGCCTGAGTTTGTCTCTCAAGTAACCCAGAATGTGGCAAAGACATTGTCCATCCCATGGCACTTTCATTGTTCCTATTGCCCCCAAGCCTCAGGTAAGGTTGAGCGAGCCAACCACACAATGAAAGACATCATAACAAAGCTGTCTTTAGAGACTCATTTAGATTGGATTAAACTCCTCCCTCTTGCTCTACTAAGCCTGAGGGCTTTACCAAAAAAGCCATCACTTGCCTCCCCCTTTGAGATAATGTATGGTCGTCCCCTTCTCCCCCTGGGAATCTCACCAGAGCCTTGGCCCCTCCCCGACCAATATGCTTTTCCCCTCCTCTTCCTTATATGCTCTGAGCTATGCTTCCAGATCCAGAGAACTCAGCCGCCTCCTTTCTGCTCAAACCAGGAGAATTGGGTCTACTTTTCTTCCCCAGGGGAAAGATCCTCCCTAACTCCAAGATGGGAAGGGCCATTACAGGTAGTCCTGTGTACACCCAATGCTGCAAAACTCCAACAGGAAGGAAAGAAACTAACCCCCTGGATTCATATTTCTAGGTTAAAACCAGCGGCAAGCCCTCCAGAGGACAATCCCACCACAGCTCCCAACCCTGCAGAACCCCCCAATCCCCCAGATTTACCTGTGAGATATCTCCAGATAACCCTCTCAAGCTCCGTTTTTCACAGTCATGCACCACCTTCCCTCCCGTTCTGGAGGAGAAGAACATACATAAGAAGGGCCTCCAGATAGGATCTAGGAACCCACGGCAACACAGTACACCCACACCCTTTTTAGACCTATGTCTACTGGCCTTATACCTGCTAACTCCCTTTCAAATTGTAGTGCAGGGAAGGTTAAACCTTATACCATCCTGTCCCACAAACTGTAGCCAAACTCTTCCTAAGAAGAGTTTTAAATTCTTTAATGAAACCCCTCCCAAAGACTGTTACCACGGTGATCCCCAGGCCTGTGAACATAATAACAATATTATGTTATTCCATTGGGAATAATCCAGCCCTGGCTCCTCCCACACCATGCCCAAGTGGCTGGACATTCAATAGGAAGAATTGCTGGAAGAGGACGATTGATACACCCAATTGGCTGCCTGATTTGGTTAAGGCAAAAACAGTCAAAGAACCTCTTCTCTCTCTTAAATTTGTCAATATCTCTCTCAATCTGTTAAAGGCTACTATTGATACACAGCCCAGGGATGTTGGCTGTGTTTGCAGGCTATAACTGAATCCCCAAAACTAATAGCATGCCCAATAAATAGTTCTCAGGCTGCACTCAAGGAGGCCTCTTCAACCCAAGACACCACAGCCAAACTCTCCAGTGTCCCTCTCTACCAGGCTGCTCCATTATGTTTTCA